TATCCCGTAGTTTGTTTTTAACTTACAACTATTCATAATGTGAATGGTTCGATTCCCATAATTTTTGTAAGAACGGGAAGTGTTGTATCTGTAGCGCTCAATTTCAATGCAAAAATTGTTATATCAAATTATCCATGACAAAGACGAATATCAACATAAGAAAGTACAGAAAAATGGCTTAAACTCATATCTAATAATAAGAACAAACTATTCGCTTTTTCTGAGAATAAATTTCTAAAAGAAAAGTTTCTTTGGGATTACCTCTATAATATCGTGTGCTTGAGATAACAATTCGAAAACGAATGGAACATTTTTGTTACTCATGACTAAAACACTGTTCTTTTTAAAAATGTCATGTCAGCAAATTTCATACTGCATCTTTTCAATATACTAAATTTCAAAATGCTGTTAAGAGAAATTAAACGAGCAGAGAAAAAGATTATTTTTTAACTGAAAGCAAATTACTTCACTTCATAGTGATTAATATACATAAGTTATCCAATTTTGATTCGACTTACTATTTTCTATTAAGAAATATTACATATTTCTTGATTAGCCGCATTCTTTTGATCCCGATTCAAATTTCAGATTTAATTTTTAGTCGGTTTTAATCTAAATGGAAATTGTTTTGTCACCTATTTGTTTTCTTGCCTAAACTATTTTTAGACTCAGTTCAATATAACTTGTGAAAGTTTTTATATCACAGCATGTGTCTTACTGAGTTATTAGCAAGATTTAGAATTATATTGTTGGATATTCAATACAGCTGCTACTAACTGGCTTTGCCGATGTTATCTCAAAGGTGTCCAGAATATTCATTACTGAATAACATCATATTTATAAGTTTTGGAATCATCTATCCTGAAAGTTAACATAGTTAATGGTGGAAAAGAAAAAAGCCACAAGTATGTTCATGCTAATTAAGTTAATCGTGTCTTAATAATTTGTAAAAAGAATTTTGTTATCGAATTAGAAGAATAAACAAGTAACGGGTGGAGAATACAGAAATGTTAGTAATAAGCAACATAAAGCAATTAGCAAATTTTAAAATTCAAATTAAGGTTTAACAAGAAATTAATTTTAAAACTCTCAAAATTGTAACTTGAAGAACAAGAACAGTGTGAAAACTCGTAACGATTTTAAAATTAATCGAAATTTTGGTTCTACATTTAATTACCAAGTTTCTAATTTCAGTTTGATATGTTAGGTGACAAGAAATTCCGTACTCAAACAACCTGAGAATCTAAAACTTTTTCTGTGGGTGATTATGACATCGTAAATATTTGCAAGATATCGTTTCTCTAATTTCAAAAAGATCTCTCATTTTAATTGCAAATGCTTTCGTTTTGTTCAGGGCTGGATTTCTGAAGATTTGCTTACTTACGCAACCTAATTCACAATCTTTTTTTGTGAATCATTTTGTGGAAGTTCTTCGACTTTTTTTTTGGATTTTAGTTTTATTGCTTGGATGACTTTTGAACAGTTAACCACTTCATTACATGGTATAACTAACCTATAACCCGAAATATTTGTCGTAAGCATTTTGAAATAAATGGGTAGATTTTTAGGCAAGTGAAAGCACCTATGACAAGTTATCAGCAATATGTTACACGCATCCCTAATTCACGGCTTTCGGAAAAACGGTTTCCCAACTTTTTTTTACCAAATAATTTATACTAAATACCTAACCTTAATAATTATGTTATTGTTCGTGAAGAAGTAATCCAAACTTACGGAAGTGATCATGTTAATTCCTTCTTTCATCACTGTTCCCAGCATTGCCACCATCTGTAGCATCCAGAACTAGACAACAGTAGTGTCAGTATCGGTAGCAAAAGTGCATGAAATAAAAGCATGAAAGTAATAATGCCAATTCGTATCACTGTAATCGTGAAAACAAAAGAAAAAGAAATGATGGGGGGTTTTTTTTTCTGAAAAGATGAATACACAGTTTTTAAGTGACAGTCGCATTATGTGCATCATGTTACAAGCAAGTTCTGGATTCTTTTAAGGGAATTAATAGTTCTTAAAAGCAAAGAACTTCAAAATTGTTAATTACAATAAGGGAACCAAACTTTTGAAAAACCTCTACTTGTTCAAATTTGATAATTCCAACCAAATCAATTCTCAGTTTCTTGATAATATTGAACGAATACCATTGAAAATGTAGACAGAGTCCATGTAAAATTTTCGGTTATACATCTGCACTTTAACTTATTTTATAAAATTCCATGCGATTTTCGAACTTAAGCTCCTATTTCGTTAGACTCCGAAAACGTCCATCTTTACAGTTTTTATGCGACCCGGGAAAAATTTTTTTCGCAGTAACTATCATTGATTCACTGATAGTTTAAAAACCGTAGGACGGACGAATAATCAGAAATAAACTTCTTATTTCTTGACAGTAAAAACTTGAACCCTTAAATTAAAAAACTGAAACTTTGAGCGAAATTTAAACTTCACCTACTTCATTTCTCTCTTCTCTTGGTTTTAAATAATGTTGGATTTTTTCACTTCAGTCATATTTCTATCATACAATTATGAAAGCAGATTTCCATTTTCTCTTAAGATAACACATCTGGAAAGTTTTTTAAATCAGAAAAAAAGGTTTTTACAAAAAAGATAGGTCGGCTTACAATTAATTAACAGATCGCTTCTTCTGTGAGATTGTGCTGTGCTTAATTTTCAGTGAATTGCACACACTTTTCTTCGGAAGCAGTAAAATCCCAAAATTTTTGCATATTTTTGCATCTCTCGATTTTCTTCAGCACTATAATGTGTCATTGAAGAGATGTCAGAGGCAGAACAAATCTTTTTATGGACATTTTTATTGCAGTTTCTCTGCCGGATTATGTACTGATAACACTGTATCAAATAAATTTATGTTCTGATTTACGTCAAATTCATCTGTTCTACGTCACGACATATGAGGATTAAAGTTCTACATAAGGTTTAACTTTTACGAATCTTCATCGCAAAACTTCTGGTTTTATTCATAATTGTTAAAGCAGTATAACGACTTCAATATCTTAAAAGGTATTCTTTGCTCTTTCTAAAATAAACTTCGCTTAATTTCTACCTTTAATAATATCCTCTCCTCTCAAATTATTCCTTTCCTTGGGTTTAACTATTCTCAATTAATCACATATTATCTTTTCATCCACCACATCCATCTCTTTTTGTTTCGCTGTCTTTCCTCTTCATTTCTCGGAAATAAAGCGAATAATTTTTTGCTGCCACAATACACTGCTTTAGATTTATGGTGTTTTGATTTCCGAACCAAAAGTATCACAAGTTCTTGATTAATTCTGAATTACAATTCCTTAGGTAAATATAAACTTCCGACATCGAAAAAATTCAATTCCAAATTTCGAAGCAGATGCCGCTATGTAACTGTTTTGATACTAGAAAATAGAGATAAGAGGAACCTTCCAGAATATTATTTCGATTATAACACTTGGATACTATAAACTTTGAGCAGATTTCAAAGTTTCGTAAAGCTGATGTGTCTACTTTTATCAAGATACACACGGCTATTTTATTTGTTGCGCATGTAACCTATAATTTCAAAAGGTCCGGAAAGTTTCGTGACTTTAGGGGGTTTCACAGATCACTATTTAATACTGCTACAATCTTTGTTCCCATTTCATTATTTTCATTTGGCCGTAACAGATTATATGAAATAATTAATGACAAATTAAAATATTTAAACAAAAAATCACATTGATCAGTGAATGATTACAGCGGTTCAATGGTATGTCCTTCTGACAGTAAGAATATCACATTTGATTATCCATGTTCCTGATTTTCTGAAAAAGACGATGGGGAAAAAGTTCGGAGGATATTATAGATGATTATTTTGATCCCTTACCAAATGCAATTGTTGTCACTTATGATTATTCAGTCGAGCAAGTGAAGTGCATTCAAAATGCCCGTCAGTTCTCTCGAATGCTTGTTCTATAAAGTATCTTTTATCTTTCATGAATTCATTTTTAAGAATAGTAAATCCAAAAGCAATTGAAAAAGAAGAGATTTGTCCATTGCTTGTGGATACTCAGTTGTTGGTACCCTACGTCAACTATTTCTGAAAGTAGTTCCTATTATTCAGTACTATAAATCTTTCCGTAGTGAAGCGAACGTACAATGGACATGCCGGTGAATTTCTGGCAGACATGAAACCAGCTATCAGACCGTTCTGCTTTATTTTCACCTTATCAAAAAGACAATTTCCTTTTTTTGTTAGTTGGCTGGATCTGACATAAGATTGTCACTGAAAAAAAAAAAAAAATCAAATCTATTCATTTACAGTACGTAAAGTTCTCATATGAGAGTTATTAATCTTCAGTGGATAATTTATCTTTCTCCAAACAAAATTTTAAGGATTTTTGTTCGCATTTCATTCGTACGAGAATAGAATCAACCCCATCCATGTTATCTCTGACAATCGCCGTCAAATTTCTTCTGAATGATCCCAGACAAATTCATGTCAAAATACTAGAATGCATTTGGGATGCTGAAAACAATTCGTGTGGATATATATCCATACCCAATCAGGGGAACAAGGAAGTTGACAAGGACGACTTGAGTATAACTATTTGGTGAATAAAACAATAATTAGGTCTGACTCCGTAATTCATATATTTAATGTAAGCTCAAAAACATCAATTTAAAATAGTAATATCTGCAGCTGGTCATATTATCAGTGATGTGTTGTTTGCAGAATATGGCCAGTTTTGAAGTTTACAAGAAGAGAAGAGAGAGCGTTTCTCCGGGGTTATGAACCTTTTCATTTTGCGGAAAATGACTAAATATGTCGGGACATGATGAGATGACTTCGGCCGGTGATCTTACTCTTCTTTTCTCTTTTCTTCTTTTCCAATCTCATCAGAATTCCGAACTCTTACAACCCTATCCAGTTTACAATCATTCCCGACTCATTAGTTTATCTTCAAGGCCAAACCAAATCATTCCAATCGCCTCGATAAAGGCAAAATGGGAAGATGAGTGCACCCGGAGGATGCGAGGTTAGAATCCATTTAATTCTCGTTTCCTGCTCCAGTTTTCATGGCATTATCCTTGCGCAACCTCCGCCCGAATGGCGGCCACGGCCACGGCCACCTTTTCGTCCTCGAGTAGCAGTCTCTGCCGTCATGAATATCCTTCTACAAAATGAAAGTTTTCGTCGCTGGATAGAGGTATGTGTATCCACTCACCATTTACACTAACGAATAGATGGACACACACACACACGCGTACACACATGTGCAGATAAGCAGATACACAGAGATACAGACGGAGGCAGACAGGTACACACGGACACACATACATACACAGACACACGCTCAGTGAAAGCGAAAATTTCGATGAACTTGAACGAGAAGTTTGCGATGTCCCGTTTAAATTGCGCTTCCATTTCCCCGCATATTTACTGCATACCGATATCTTGCAACACCATCCGATTTCATTACAATCATTATGTCTTACTGAATGCTTCATTGAATTTTGTTCATTCCAAAAAAACTAAGGAGAGAAACAATCTGATCCAAATTAGCATACTAGAGAACTACGGAAAGTAGCAACAGAGAGAAACATAGTGTGACTGTCCTTTTTGTCACATGCATTTTGCGTAAATTTTTTGTTCAAAAAAATGAGAATTATCACTTATATTCCACACAATTTCAAGAACTAGTGACGAGACTTAATAACAATTCAAGCAAGAAGCATTTGCAGTGTGCTACAGATATATCTCCTGGCTTATTGTCATGCATATTTCCTTATCTGCCAAAATTGTTCGCAGCTAACACCATCTGGCACCAACGTTGTTGGTAAAACGTGAGACCGGAAGTTCATCCATACCATCCTGTTTCCGAAACATGTACAAGAAATCAAACCATTGCCGCTACGGAGTGTAGCAGATGGCAGAATTGCATTTCCCGAAAAACTAATCCGTAAGTAGTATCAGTTAGTTGATCAGTCGTCCGGAATTCTTTACCGAATTTTCTTGAACTTGTGTGGTAAAAAATGCTGTCAGTGTTACAAGTAGAAATAGTTCTCAGCATCATTGCAACCGTATTTTCATATCTTCTCAGGATAAAATTCTTCAATCCACAAAACTGGTAATAGAACTGCTAATCCCAACCTCACCTAGAAGAGCACCATCCCTCGCGTTTGTTGACCAGAAGTGCCAGCGAAGTATTGAATGGGAAAGAGGCGAGTAAACTGTAAGACATATTCACACACTCACATTTACGAACACAAAGGCGCTCATCTGATTTGCATATAGCCTTGCAAAGGATTTTGCTGACTAAATGATTTGGATTGGATGGACAGCTCATTTGGAACAACTCCTTTTCGATACAACCATCCCAGTCTTTATGGATAAAAAGCATTACATTAAACGACAACAATTTAAAAAAGCATAGCTCGATCTGTAGCGGAATAAAAAGCAATATCCTTTGTCGCCAGCAGCCCAAAAATTTTAATCATGAACGCCGATGAAATCATCCAGAACTAACTGGATAAAAAGGGTTCTTCCGCGCGCGGGAGATCTCTCTATTTAGGGGATACAGACACGACATGCATGTTTCTCCAACCCTAAAAAATTCTACTTCCAAAAACTCGCCATTATCATCATCGTTGTGCCAACGAAAACATCGGAAGTGTTTAAAATGTAACATAACATGCACATGTTCAACAGCTGTTCAACATCAAAACGGTCTCTATTTTTGTAGGGACTGGATCAAACCGCTACACGGCTTATAACAATCATCTCCTGCACGGTTATCAAAAGCTCATAAAATTTTTCGTCTTTTCAGCCCAACGGATATTTCAGGTAGTGAGTTCGATATCCACTGCTTGCATCCTCACTCTAGACCTAGACTTTGGGTAGCTGAAGTGTCACTTAAGCAAGCAAAAAGACAGAAGATGAATGAAAGAGGGGACGAACGAAATGGAAGAAAAGAAAACCGAGAGACAAAAAGAGAAAGCTGTATTAGTCGTTTGCAAATCGCCATCGTCATCCATCATTATTATGATCACGATCATCATTACCATAGAGAATCTTAACGGTCATAAGATGATTATGAAAAAGAAATCATAATATCTTCAACTTTCCCCTGTCTCTTTGATCACTAATGATAATGTTTTACCTTAGTGAATCTCCAAGAAACATTTCAGTCCACTTAGATTAGTTGCTTGGGAACTTTCGATGCATGTTGCATCATTTACCATGTCCCACTATTATTAAATACTGTGACAAAATGAAATGGAAATGATCGAATCAGTAAAATAGGGTTATATCTAATCTAAGAAGAAATTGTCATTTCCACTTTTAATTGGCAAGCAACTTCATAAGGTATAACACAAGGTTGGAAATGAGACATATCTGCCATCCCGACATTTTCATATATCCTTTTCCTATTGGTATGGGACCAATTAGAGTCAAAGCAGTTTTAAGGATGGTTGCCACGGAAATAAGCCATTTTGCTGTGAAGAAAATAGGTGAAATTTATTTTGTTCAAATCCCGTTTTCCATGATCCAATTCAAGCTTTCAGAAATTTCGGATCCTTTTCATTTTATTTTGCACACAAAATGTAATTGTTCACAAATGAATCTATCATTTTTCTGGATTTCACTAAGACTTGTTTCCGTTTGGTCCTGAAATAGAAAAACTGGTTTTATTATTCAGTATTTCAGATGATAAAATCAGTTCCAAATTAGGGTTCATTCTGGTAATTTAGAACGGTTTGATAGAGAGGAGGAACTGGATGAGTTGTAGAAACGGACGGAGGAAATAGTATGAATCAGGAACAGGAATGAAACACGGAGGGAAAGTAAGGAAGGAGTGATGCGTTCTTTGTGGAACATTTATTAAGTGAACGTTTAATAGTGTTTGGGTTTCGAATGACGGTTGCTGCATAACAGTGTAGTCGCTGTCCCTCCTGCCTTCTGTTTTGCCATGAGATTCATTCTATGGAGGCTCGTGACCTTCGGCAAAATGAAAAGTTTGGAAAGATGTAGGAGGGCGGGTGATCGGCCTCCGCGGAGACGGATGCCGATCGCCAATACCCAACCCGCCGAACCGAACGCGAAGAAGAGGGAACAGGGGCCTACTAGAACCACCATCATCATTTACTACTACAACAGCCATCACCTAAGGATAGAAGAGCGAGTGCTGCTGTTACCCTGTGCAGCAATCAAAACTACCCACATTTTGTAATCGTCCTTCAAACTGAATTCAGTTTTCTGCATGGTACAACCAGATCCAGGCAATTGTCGTATTGCCCAGAAATCCGCTTGTCACGATATCAGGCCCCGAATTTATTTTAGATAGCATAGATTTCTTGTCTGTCTTGCCATTGCCCTCCCCCGCCTCATACTGGATGTGGTATTATCACTCCAAATATCCTACGAATGGACGTCCTCAATTACGGTGTTCAGAATCCTTCGTCTGAATGTAGCATTATAAAATAGTGTACTTGAATGTCTCAGATTACGTCCATCTTTAACTCATCCTTTTCTGTTGTTAAAATAGTTCAGTTCAGTTTTTCCCACAGTTTTGCTACATCTGCTGATCCTCCTGCATTCTCGCAGAATCTGATATCTAAGATGTTTTATAGTTGACTTTCTGAAATAATTGTTATAACACTTTTTTCCAACTGTCCGATTTCAAAATAACTAAAAAGTAGCAACTACTTTGTCCAACTGCGGCAAAAAAATTTTATGCTGATGCCGTTATTTATCCGCTGGAATCATGCGAAGTACAATACAGTTTATCATTAGTAATGTCATTGTTGACCTTTGTTCATCGTCTCTGTTACAGGAAAAAAGTTAACGGGTAATCATCACCATCATCACGCTGTCTTTCAAATTCTCCTACGGATTTTATCGTTGAAAAAATGATAAAACGTGGTTACCGCCTGGTTAGGAAATATGAGTTGTTGCAGTTCTTGATATGAATATTTGAGGGTGAGGCGAAATTAGGTTAATAATAACTTTTATCTTTGTCTTGATTTCCTGACGCATGTTAAACAGGTCATGATAAAGTTCAAGTAAAATCATGGTGCTTTATTCCTGGTTAAATGAATGTATCTTTTAGTGGTGTCTTGGATTCTTTGTACTACAAACGTCCTGAAAGTTTTGATTAGGTCCGGTCCAAACATTTCACAGATGGTGCTACGGCTTCACCTCAAATGCCCGGAAAACGAAAAGTTATATCGATTTTTCAATTTACCCATCTCAGCAATGACCTTTTTGATGTTTTGGAAATGGAGTACATCACACAGTAACCTGTAGCTATCATTTAAACCCATTATCCATAAAATTCTTACAATGACTTAATCAACCTGAACCATGAAGAAGAAAATTTTCTGGAAGGAAAACAATAGGAAGGGGGAATAGGGTGGGGAGAGGGGAGAGGTGGACCGAAGCCGCAAAGGGCCGAGCATCACAACGGAAGGAAGAAGTAAAGCAGTGGTGGTAGTCCGGATTTTCTTCGCTCAACATGTGCCTCTTGGTCGGGGGGAAAGTAGTCAGAGCAGAAAGTTGATAAGGAAAATTAGGTCGGCTCGAGACGATTCGTTTACCCCAGTGTATCAAGTTCACCCCGTCGCATTTTCCCGTACAAAACAATCATCCGACCTTCACTCTTACGCCACCAATACCATCATTCTCCCTCCTCCTCCTTCATCCGTTTCGTCGTAACTGGTTAAAATTCATCCCCTACATCTAACCCACCCTTTCTCTTATCCACGATATTACCCGAAATTTCATTAAACTTTGCAATCTCTCCTTGAAAAGGAGACTTCGAACTTAGGGTTTAAAAATTCAGAAAGAAGCCCTTTTATTATATTAATTTTAATTTTGATTTGAAAGTTTTGTTTTGCTGCTAACCGCGATTTCCAGAGTTTCGGGAATTTTTCAGTTTTATTGCAATTAATTACTAACCCCACCTGCTTCTTCTGTTCTTTCCAGCGCATCTTTCTTTTTAGTGGTGCATATGGAAACAAATATGCAATGTTCCGGGAAAATGACAATGAATCTGCAGGGTGTAAGGTCTGTGAGGTAGGGAAATACGTAATCCGTCAACTAGGATCACCGCAGTTCTGCATATTATTGGTAATGGATTGGTGCTTATAAAGCTGATAAGGTTATAGTGACCGGCAGTAGTGATGGTGATAGTGAGAGTGGTAGTAATGATAACAATGGTAATGTTAGAGATCGTAACGACGTCACGGTGACAATGGTAATGGTAGTGTTGGTAAAAAAAAAAAAAAACAACAGTAATATTGATGACGAAATAATGACAACGTCCATAATGACAACAATACCAAGAATTGAAAGTAGTGTCAAAGGAGTGGGAAATCTTGACGTGAGTGACGTGAATCATGTAGGCTAAGCTCTCTGATAACTGCGACGGGAGTTGAAATCAATCGGAGAAGCAACCATCAGCTCTTTTGTTTATCACTGCTGAAAGCTGAGAGTGAGGAAGAAGAGGGAGGCAAGCCCGATAATGGTTTTCGATGTCCCGGATGGATTGCTGGAACAGATCATCACCACTTTCCCAAACATCGGCAATGAAAGCCGTCTCACTGTTGTGTATACTGTTATTGGCTCTGCGCGTGTATTTATCTGTGTGAGTTGCATTCCTACCCTCCCATCAACTCGGATCCTCACACAATATCCAGTATGGTAGCTTTAGCTCAACATTGTTTCGCTCATTTACTCCCTGTTTATCTTCATCCTGATCCTCGCGCCATTGCAATCTTTGATCCAACTTTCCGATCCACCTTACTGGAACAGCTTGCTGCGTTATCCTTCCGCAGCAAATTTTTTTTGTTTTGAATAATTGCTACGCTTATCATCACGTTAGGAGATAATGTAGAACCAAGAGCAAGGAGTTCGTTATGATGTTCAGGTAACGATGACGGGAATTGTCTCATACAGGTTCCTCCCTTCCTCTGTACTTAATGCTAGTTAGGTCTCGGTACACTCCAGTTGTGCACTTCTGTATGAAACACCTCCCACTTTTCCTTTTCTAATGGGTGGGAACGATTACTCGGAATGTTGTGAAGTGTATAACTGTTTATATGATCATGCAGACTGTTACTGATGGTAAGGACATGATGCGCGTGCTTACGAGTTAGTGATAAAATGGAGGTGATGGGGAGGAAAGGAAGTTATCCAGAATGTAAGGGAAGCAGCGCTGGAAGAATGCATATGAACTGTCTTGAAAAATAGTGAGAACACAACACCATAGATGTGAATGGAGATTGTAGTATTTATTGAAAAGAGTGAAGGAGGATCCAATCTCCATTCTCCCATCCTCCCACGATGTCCAATCCCGGATCGTTTAGATAATCTTGATTGGGGAGGGGCGCCAAGGTCATTTCGTGGACGTTCAAGGATGCGGTGCCTTCCATTCCTAGTTGCGCACTTCATCCATCGGGCCATCACTGATTTTCACTTAAACATAATACTTTCTACCTGTTCCTTCCCCTATCTCCTTTTCTCATTTTCCACACACACTCATTCATATATACGCACATACATCGTCCCCACGATGTGTTTCCTGCTTTTTTTCTCAACAAATTTTCCTATTAATCTCTGATCAATTTTATCCACATTTTCTAAAAACACATTTTCTTGAGTGCAAAATCTGAATAATCTCGATAATCTTCTTGTTCTCCCAAGACAAACTTCTGAATAAAGTTCGGCTTCGATTGAAATAACTTTTCGCATTATCTATTTAATAGGTGTGTTTACCTGGTCCTGATATGTTCCAGGCTTCCGGATACCTTTCCTCTCATGCAACGTACTTGTATTTTCGGTCTGTAATTTTGTAATGGAATTTACTTATCTTTTTTTCCTCAGTCGCCCAAGATAACGAATACGACTCTTTCGTGATACCGATTTTCGAGGAGAATTTAATTTATCATTTAAGTTCTACGTCCTCTCAGTGACCTAAACCCAGAACGAATGATCCAGACTGTCTTGTCCAAATGTCCGAGATATATTTATTGTGTGTCGTCCACCTCCTATCCCAATTTTCTGTTCATTTATCAAAACATAGCAAAACCGGATTTGGTTTACCGCTATTCCTGAATTTCCAAATTTTTAAACTAAAACCCTCATGCAGCAAAATGTTGGATGGGGCATTATTCGTTTGCATGTCTAAAGTTACTTACGTTTTTTTTTTCACTTTATCTAGAGGAAATTTTACAGGATTTAATCAAAGATAGTAATCACGGCGCTCCCAGCCGGGCCGATTTCTGCCTTATTGCTCTTCACGTCTGCAAGTGAGCGACAAGGTTAGCTAAGTAGAAGTGCAAGTGTGCAAGTGGTGGAAGTCACTGTTCGTTTGCCATTTTAACAAATTTCAACTAAAAAGATACTTAGAGTAAGTTTTGGGGGTTTTCGTTATATTTTATGTTTTGAGTTTGAATTTTTTTTCCAATTGCTGTGATTTAAACGCCAATCATCAACAAAATTTCTGTCATTTCCTTTATGGATGATCCGCAGCAATTCTTAGATGTCTCTATTATCTTCACCCTTTCCTCTCTTCGGCACTTTGAGTTTCACTGTTGAAGTTCTTTCTTATTTGTTCCATGAGTTTCACTTTTCAAATAGCGTCGTTTCGGTCTATCTTATCCCGATGTTAATCTGTACCTTCAGACTGTTACTGACAGTTATCTGCCATAACCTCCATTTCCTATGACTAGGTTTATTTTGTTTCTAATCCTGTGACTGTGGAATTCGTTTAAGTGAAGAACAAGCTTCAAATTTCGTTATAAATATAGGATGTCTCGTTGAGCGCATAGTTAACGGCAACTACGCCTGCACAGTTGACCTGTATTGAAATCAAATTTTTGGTTTTATTGAATAAATTGGGACAAGTACGCACAAGTTAACTGGGGGATTCTTGCGTGATGGATGACAAGTAGCATCATAGTAAAAGAGAGGAGGATGAGATAAAAGGAAATTGAATAGTAATAAAGGTGTGGATTACGACTGATCATTTCCTCCAGTTTACTTCCTAAATGGCGTAACTGGTTGGAGTAAACAAGCAGACGAGTTGCTGGAGGGAGGATTCCACGACGGACCGAAATGTGGTATGTAAGGGGAAGGACATGAAAACACAGCGGGGATATTGTCTGCCCAGGAAGGGTACCCCGGGTGTTGAGCCCGTCGCGCATATAGCTTGTTATCTGCGAACAGAGATCGACGTCCAATACACCACCAAACGCATACATACATCCGGATTACGGTGTTTGCAACCATTCAGACCTGCTTTGAAATCCTCTCCCTCCTCCATTATCATTCAGTTGCACTCCATTCTTCGTTCTATTTATGTATCTATCTACCTACCTACCTACTTATCTATCTACCTACCTTCTATTTATCAATCTATTATATATATACATGTATATATTATGTATAGTATATGTATTTATTTCATGTGTATATCAATATTTATTTGTCTGTATCCACTGTTGTTTGTTTACAAACATCATTGCTGTTTTCTGTATTTAAAGGTACTTCTCTATCTGTCGCTTTCTTCCACTCCTCTCCATCAATCATCAACCGAGTCACTGCATACATTAAAGTTTTAAATAATCCTGACGTATAAGCACGGTTTAGATTGCATAAACCTGTAATTAGCATAAACCTGTAATCCCACGCATCCTAGATTCTGGAACTTCCTGACAAGTCATTTAATAAACATCTTATTGCTTACATCTGGAACTATCCTTCCTACCAAATTTTTAAAATGCTGTGCTCACTGTGGCTCCATGAACAGGATTTAGTCTGCTTACGTTTTTCTAACAAAAAAGAAAAAACTCACACTCCGTCATATAATTTTGGATATTTCACAGTTGCATACAGCTTGTTTCTTTTTTTTCTGGCTTTCTGATCTCATTTCAAATATTTTCGGATCGAAGAGGATCGTCTGGAATTATTGTAACACACTGGTTTATGGTAGTGAAGAATTCCTCAAAAAATGTGGTCATCGGGATACTTCTCACGTTGACATTTGGTCTCTGTATCTTGACAGGATTCTCTTGTATGTGGTAGATGGGTAGCGTTTCTCCAATATCGGTACAAGATATTGCTAAACCCGATAAGAGATAGATAAATCGGCTGCATTGTTCAAGCTGCTCAGTTCCCTTTCCCTTAGGATTTGTTTTGAATGTTGCGCAATGATGTCTTGCTCTCATTTATAAAATAGTTCCGACCAATTTCACTGTCTTACTTTGTATATGGTATTAAATTCTACAGCCGGAAATCTTATTCAGAAAGTTTTGGAAATAGTGGAAAAGAAAATCAAATGTAATGTGCATGGCAGTAAATGGAGGTAGTAGAGATAACCGTTTTTACTGTGGTTGTTGCGGATTGTTTGCTTGTTGGATAGCGTTGGTTTGGGTCGTGAGGGACTGTTCTGTTCGCAAGGTGGTGTTGTTGGAGTCGAAGTGGATAAGGAAGAAATTTTGAATTGCGAGAGAGTAAGGAGATAAAGTACTTTCACTACTGCAGTCGGTTGTCTGCTTGCTTACTTGTATGTTGTCCACCATGTTTTGTCCACTATAACTCCGCTACACCACGACGTAATTCTCTTGTCAGACAGTCGTTTCAGCCTGCAACCCCTTAACCGCTCCCTCCTTAGACGAGTTTTAGCTTTATTCTGTTGTCTATTTGCCCCAACCGGAAAATCATTTCCTTTTCGATCTGCCTCCATCTTGAACGGGATTTGCCTTTTAGGATAGAGTGGGGATAGAAGGAAGAGTTTGGGACGATAACAAGTGGACCAAGAGAAATGTAAATAAGACGGTCAGCATACCTGTTTTCATAGAATAGAGAAAGGGGGAGAATGTAGCACCAAGCAAGGATTTGCAGCCACAAATACGGAATCAAGGTCATATTTCTCGACTGGCCTTCCGAACAGTTTTCCAACATTCGCTAGCATCTCCACTTTTTTCCCAACCCTCTTTCAATGTTTCTCATTGGTGTACATTAAACTGTATAATACATTAAACTTCAGGACACTATTATTCTATTACAGTGATATGGAACTATCTCAAATGACAACAGCGATATTATTAATGTTAATGTCATTGCACTTTCTGTTGGGAATTGAATTTAGTTGAAACCTGTGGGATTTTAAAAAATTTCTAGATCCGCATCGACATTCTTCCTTTACTTCTAATTCTGTTTTATTCTGGCTTTACTTCTCTTTGAAACGGCACCACGACCAATTCCCCTGATTATCGAAACAGTCGCATTAATTTCCCAAACAAATAATGAGGAATTTAATTAACTTTTGAAAAGAGCGATTTCTTTCCAAGTTTTTCTGGTTGGAAACGAAACTAAAACGGCTCCTGGTATGACCATATACAAAACCTTTTTTAGTCATACGGATGATGAGGAATTTTTTGATTAACAATAAATGAATTAATTAGGACAACAGTCTGAGCTAAATATGCACAGGAAATAATAACTGGGTTAGTCTAAGAAATCTCACTAAGAGTTTTTGTCTTTCATTGCAGCAACGCTCATTCTTCCGACATTTTACTTTTCATTTCGAATTCAGGTCTCATTTAGAGCTCATATTTTCTTACTTTCTAAATTGGAAATGAGTATTATTACGAAAATTTAGCTAGCGCACATGTTGCATAGCTGTAACCTGTTGATGGAATTTCAGCTGCTTATGCTCTAATTAGTCACGTGTTTGTGCTGTACCCATTGAAGAGGATAAAGACTCTTCTTTCGTTTATGGGCGAATATGTAAGGCAGTTGCATAGAACTTAGTGCTTCCCTTCAGATTCGCAATTACTCAGCTAATAATGGTTATAAAGCTTTTTTTTGGGTTGCTGAAAATCCTTTTTTTGTTTACATTTAGACATTGCTTATATTGTTTTAAAAGAGAGTTTTACATTTGGATTTACCGAATGTTGTACAACATGAAAAAATACCTTTATGGCTAATGTCGAACCCTACCACCAACCTTATTTGCCACATAAAAATGCTTTTAACATTGCCTGTCATGGTTATGAAAATGAACTGCAATGCCATGAAGCAATTAGACACTTCTTTTTGCATATTTAATTAATATTTGTTGCATGTTATAGCTTATTTTAAATGAATTACTCCCAACATTGGTGGTATCATTCGTCTTTTGCCCATTTGTGTATGTTGGTGCGCATTTTACAAATGTAGTATTACTGTTGCAAAACTAGTTCATATGCAGCTCGATGGTTCATTCCAGAAAGCGATTGAAATCCAAGTGTCAGCCTCACTTGCTGAGCAGAACGCCGGTAAGATGATGTAATTAATAATTATGTGTTTTTAAAAGACGTAATTGTTGGTGGAATGGGTGTATAAAAAAAGGTAATGATGGACATATAACTTACTGGGTCTATCTTAATTAACAAAGCTTTTCTAATTTTCTTTTTGTACCTCTCTTCGTAATCAACTCACAATGATTACATTTATGTTGAAAAGCAAATTTCATATTGATGTTGTTAACTGCTTTATATGGAAGTTGCTACATTGCGTAGTGAAGCAGTAGGGATAACCTCAGGGTTATCAGTACTGCTCGGTCTTCTGATAGTGACTCAATTGTCCTAAATGATCCTATGGTGATGCAGAAGCAGTTTTGAACGACTTGGTGTAGTAGTAAGACGAGTAAGCCAATGTTAATGAAATAATCGGAATAATGGCGATTAATGGCGCAAGAAATGCTAAGCAGCGGTAAAGATAAGCAACACACGGATATCGTGAAAAAAACCCTTAGTGCCAGATGTCAAATCCTTTCGTCCATTTCGTCTGCCATTCAGGCTACCAGTGGTTCAGTGAGATTCCATAAGAAAATAAGTGATCTGGTTTACAGATGACAATGGAGGACATGAACGCGTGCACTCAGTGTGGCTTTATGACAAATAATTTTGGTGATTTCAAAGAGCACATCGAGCAGCACGAAAGTGAGCGACATCTTACTACCACAAATACTAGTAGTCGGCAGGTTTCTCTTTTGTGCATTGGTTTTTTCTACAATAAGAATGTGTGATGATTCTATTTCTTTCTGAATTGCTTTTGTTGCACTATCCTGGAATATATGCATGTTTGCTGCATAAATGTGGTAGGGAATGCAGCTGGATGAAATGAAATGGAAAAAATCAAATTCTTGAATACCTTGACCCCTTGCTGGACACATTTCCCAAGAAGTACAGGATTTCATATATTCTGTTCAGCAACTGTATCGTGGAAAATCATGGAAACTCTCGGATTACTGGGTATGTTATGTAGAAGATGATCAGTATTTCTAGTTTGGTGAACCGTTTCATTCGTGGCTTGAACAACTTTGATATAAGGTTTCAAGACATAAACAATATTAACAAAAACTGCTGTGGGGGAGAGCAGTTAATCAAACAGCATAGCCATGTTAATTGACGAATTTTCCATAAAGAACTATTGTCTACGCCTTTCCTCCGAAAAATTTCTCGTGGACCTATTTAATAGACCTGGCGCATTAGTCATTTGATTCATGTGGAAATTTTATTCTGGACTTGCTCAGGATTGGGATGTGTTTTAACTCAAGAATAGGGATACTTTTGTGGAATTTTCGGTTTTGAAAATCAAGCGGGTACAATATATTCGATATTTGGAGAAGGGGAAAGAGATAAGTATATCGGATCAAGATGAAAAGTGGGTTGGGGAAGTAGATGAGGGGATCGCTTTGCATGTGAGCTCTTTGTTAGATCTCGATTTCGTGTAGTTGCGCGGTGGTTATGAGGATTGAGCAACCAGTTAGTTTAGTACATCTATTGTGGAATTGAAGGTGATACGATTTTCAGGAATGGAACGAGGATTTGGATGAATCGTTATCGACGCCGAACCTGTCATCCCCCGAGCAGTTCTCTCCGGCGGCCGCTTCTTCACCACCAGTTTCCGGTAATAATAGCACATTCAAAGCAACCACCACCAACAGCAGCAGTAAAACTATGCACGTTTGTCCTCACTGCAATTTTGAAACTTGCATGTCGCAGCACATGAAAAGTCATTTGGTTAGCTTTCCTTATTTTCAAATGAAGACTTTTTTTTTTTCAAGTCTTTAAAAATCTTCTACTTACCTGAAGGATGAGAGCTTCTATCGAAAGGTTTCTCAAGCTAGCTTTCTGTCTCCACTCATTTTTCCAGTACTTTTCGACGTTCATGTAAATGATTTTTTTTAATTTGTGGTTTGAAATCTCTCTCTGCACATCTTTGTTTGCCTGACAATTTTTGCGTATTTCTTGCCTTTCTGAATAAAAATTAATTGTAAGTGGTTTTTTCTTGCTGTCATTGCCGAAAGTTTTGCATATTGATCTGAGTTCCGGTGAAGCCAAGGAAGAACTAGATTTACTGTCTTGTGTTTCTCAGTATTAATGTCATTTTAATTTCTATTATGGCGAAATTTTTAATTCAAATTTGTTGGTTTTCAAGAAATGTCTTTTTCAAATTCCATATAAAATATAAACTTGCTTTTGGTTAAATTTTAGGTGATTCGAATTATTTGATGCTGTCATTTATAATTCTGAAGCTTTACAGGATGCACATGAACGCCATCAGGGACAAATGTATCAATGTGATATTTGCCACATGCAATTCAGCCAGAAGGCAAATATGCATCGTCACCGAATGCGGCATACAGGCGTTAAGCCATATCAGTGTCGGTACTGCCTAAAAAAATTCTTTCGGAAAGACCAGGTTCGCATGCTGAATTAGCAGAAATATTGTTAAAGCGTTAAAATGTGACGTGCAAACGTGTATGGACGTGTATGATTGAAAAAAAAGGTGCCATTAGATGACACAGTTGCAGATGTATTTTATGCCAGTGAAGTGTTGAATGATTTTTTCAGTTACACAAAGGATTTTTTTTTTAGTTTTTGTCTATAGCTCAGTAACCTGCTCATCTACCGAACAGCCTATTGTATAATTTAGATGCAAGAACACTCGATGACCCATATAAAGACAGGTGCCGATTTTGATTGTCCAGTTGCCCTTTGTGATAAGCAGTTCAGTCAACACGCAAGCTTACGAACACATCTAGACGAAGCGCATGCTATTGCACCATCAACACCTGCATCATGTAAACGGTGCTCACTGCTGTTTGCAAACTCGCGGCGACTTCTGTTGCACTACCAAACAAAACATGATGAGGGTGATGTAAGTCTAAAGCTTCAGAAGTGAAAAATCCAGGTCCCAAATATTTTCAGCATGAGAAATAGTATTCATAGTCTTACGATTCTGAAGCTTCGAAAAAAAAGAAGCTTTTAGGCTTCAACTAGTTTTCAGAAAACAAAGAAATAGTAAATTTAGTGGAATATATAGCGGAATTTATGAGTGAGTAGATCCAAAAAGTGCTCAAATATGCAACATCCTCGGGTATTTTTTGCGGTTCAGTTCGACCGAGATAAGTCGAGTTGGAAAAAACTGTTAGGCGAATAGATTTTTTGAAACCTTGTGTACTGGACGGTGAGCAACAGAGCGAATCATCGCATCTGAAATTTTATGATCTAGAGCGTCTTTTATTTTACTTTTCTTTTTTATTTTTTGGGCGAGGGAAGCATTTATCAGCTTGTTGATCAATTCGTTCACAAATATTCATTTGCATTTCAGACATCGAATGTTGTTGTAACGTCGCCAGTGAAACCTAAATCTGAGAATAATGCAAAAGATATGTATGCGCTTACGTCACCCAGGAAACAACGACGGACAAATGCGCAAACTATTGTTGCCGCAATCCAGGAGCAATTAAAATTCATTAAACAGGAGTCCATGAAGCCTTCCATTAATGAAGATATGTCTCGATGTATGGATTATGAACAGGTACGAACGTTCCTAAAAGAAGCCCTAAGGGTTTTTTCAAGATCGTGCTTCTTTCTGCTTCGTACCATTCCGTTGAAACTTTTTGTTTACTGCTTCATATTCCAGACTGGATATGGCATGACAAATGAGGAATGGTTATTATCCCTATCAAATGTCAACACTTCAACACTTATTACGGTGATTTATATTTCTTAGAGTATTGAAAATAAATTTTAATGATAACTGTTTTGTTATACTTATTTATCCAGTTTCTGGGCACCAATCAGACTTGTGCTTTAGGATATAAAACCGGAAACAGCACTGCAGCAATTATGGACACGAACTAGTAATGCTGGCAGTGAAAATACGGAAGATCAATCTCATTCTCCCTCAGTTGATAGCGGAAGTAGTAGTGCCACTGACGGTGAAGGGGGAGACAAGGAGCAACAGGTTAATTTTTTGAAATTCTATCGTTCTTAATATCCCAGTGCCCTCGAACGTAGGGGAACTTCATTCTCTTTTCGTATAAGAATTTTAAAGGTTCCTTTGGATAAATCTGAGTCGTTTTAAGGAATGCATGCATTGTGGGATGATTTTTATGGATCAGACGTTGTACCTTTTGCATAAAGGGTTGCATTCCGATTCAGATCCTTGGAAATGTAACCTGTGCGGTCATGGTTGCGGCGATAAGTATATGTTCACAACACATGTCATCAGTTCCGATCATAGTTGCTGATGTTATCCTTACAGTTTCAAATTCTTTGTTATTTATAAAATCAAGTAACCAAAGACTTTTGCCATTTCGTAGAAGAGTACCCGTTCATTTGTAGTCTTATTCGTAAAATCAAATAGCAGTTTATCAGGTTTTTATCAAGATTAAGTTAACCACTGATCTTCTAAAAATCTCCTCCATTTTCCGGCAAATTGCTACGTTGAAACTGGTTTATGGAAATATGCAGAAAAAAAGTGGAGGTGTCATTAAATTTCTTGTAGTGGTATGAAAACTCATAGGTTTTATTGTATGTTCTTTTTAAAAAAAAAAAGCTTTTAAACCTCTTGTGCATTTTCATGCGCAAAATCATCATTCCTGGGAATTTACCTTAGTTTCATTGTTTTTTCTTTCATTTTGTATGATGTATAATTTAGTTCACATGTGATAATACAAACCAGTAAGTGTTAGCCTCCTGAATTTGCCGATTCTCATAGATTTGTATTTTCATTCGTTAATTATTTATTCACATTTAATAGGCTGTCTTTTTTTCGTGTGAATAGGACAGCTGTATCACAGTGTGGCTATGTATATAACATGTTGCAGGCTTGGTTTTCTTTCTTTGCATGCTTCTTCAAAGGACACTTTTTCCTCCTTGTAAATTACTTGTTGTCGAAGTGCCAGTGTGAATTTTGGAATTGCGGAATTTCTTATACTTTGAAAAATTTCGCAGATGTCGATTAATAATTTTTGTAGTCCTGCTCTTTTTTTGTGTTTGCTTGTATAAGTTTTTTCACTTCTGTTCTGTAATTAAAAACTTTGTTATTTAAGATGACTCTTCTTGTGAATTGTTATGAAATTTTGGAACTATTTTGTCTGTTTACAGGGTAGCTGGTTACTTTTTGATGAACCGTTAGTGAAATTACATCTGAATTCTTCTGATTGAATACTAAAAAAGAGAAAAAAAAGGAAGTAACCAGAAGCTTGCATTTTAGTGATATTTGGAAAATTGAACTATTTCATCTACACCTGAAATTGACATATATTCAACTCCTTAGCAAACGTGCCTTCTTTGACATGGTATTTGTATGTACGTGAGCAGAACAGTATCCATGAAAGGAAGTAGGAACAAGTTTGCGTGAATGTATTTATTGTTTCCTTTTTTGTGGAATGCATTTTCTATAAGTTATATCTAACTGAAAATAAGGCATACTGTAGCTTAGAATGTCAGGTTTTTGTTAAATGACTAGAAGATGATGGAGTTGTCTTTCAAGCCTAATTTCATCCGTGATTTCATGATATATATAGTGGAGTATATCCTTTCAATTTTCGTATCTCTAAAGGCTTTTCTTTATAAAGAAGGGAATTGTTGCTGCATTATGAAATAGACAGAATACCTCATGGGGTATTTGGTAATGTGTTGTAAAAAAAAGGTGATTTACATGATGCGAAATTGCATAAGAGACAATGTTCCCACATAATTTATGTGCTTTATTCATTTTGGTTAATTTTATTGCTTTTCATTTTTGCTGATTTATTGGAGTGATTGGTACTTGGATTTTTTGTAGTGCCGAGAACCTTATGCGTGCTCCTCCAACGTATTCCATTCATTAGGCTGGAAAGTTAAGTCTAGTCTTCAAGTGAAGTAACGGTCAAGGTTATTGAAGTCTTCAAACAAGATCGACTAACCATGTTTGAGCAAATTATTCTACCCATGTAATTCATTATATCTTAATTCCTACTGTCAGATTTAGAGGTTTGAGCATCGTAAAAACATGGTTTTCTGAGGCTGAGGTAAAAGCTGGCTTATCACAAATTTTGATCCCAATATCAGAGGGCTTTCTTATTCATGCGGAAATGTTTAATCCTTAATTTCATGTGTAGTATGAGAATAGGGAGAAGGCGGGGTAGACGGGGACCTCGACCATGGCACTAGAGGAGCATGATTAACACAAGTTGATTTGTCCGTATAAACTTTTCCACGCCCATTAATTCACTCGAGAATTTCAAACCTACCAACTTTGTGAAGTGCAGCTGCTCCACTGAGACCACTTGGTAACTGTATCAAATGTATATTTCACTTTTTTAACCCGAAATTTGTGAATAGTGCACCTTTTAGATCTCATGGTCATGATCAGTAGTACAATCATCTCTGAATGATTAGGCGACAATTCATTGGACATGGTTTTGTGAAACATGGCCTTGAATTACATTTTGATAAGTTAATTTCTTGCTTCATGCTCTATAATGATGGGATGCATGTATCTTCACTTTTGGATCGTGGAAAGTAAACACATCGTTTTTCTCCGTTTCCTCAGTTTTGAAAGAATTGTTCCGTTATGAGGTATTCATTTAGCTGTTGTATAACAGCTTGATTTTAACAAAAGTATATTTTGATTTTATGCAAGTCGCAAGCATAGGCAAAGTAGTACATTTTCATTTTATTGGTTAGAAAAGTCGATATAATTATCAAAATTCTGAAGTAGTAGTTGACTTGCAACAATGCAATAAAAGATAGTAAAAGGCTCCTTAATAACTCAGTAGCATACGAGAAATTAGTGTCCGGAGTGATTAATACTTGAAAAGGTAATGATGCCTATTCCCGACGTTTATTCTTTTCCAGTCAACAAATACAGTCGCTCTCTTAAATTATCTATTCATACTTTTTAAAATTTCGAAGTCTAACAGTAGTGATTTTAATAGTATGGAAGATTCTAAACTGTAAAAGATACGCATGTTTCTAGATTTCTCCGAAGTGCAAAAAAAATTATTTAATTTTACCTTACTGTTATAGGTAGTAAATAACGCAACATCATGATGAAATTAGTAATAACACTTTGTATGAAAAACATTATAAATTGTAAAAACCTGCTTAATTTATTATGTTAGATGATGGACCTGAGGAATACGAAATCTTCTATGCGGTCGAAAGCCCATTATACCCCATTTGGCCATAGGAAAACGCGCAAAAAATAAAGCAGTTGACCTACAGCAGGATCCAGAAAAGAAGCAAGAAGTATGGCGTGGAAGTGCGGTAGGATACTTCGGGGTGCATCTTGCAACTGCCGGTCGAACCAAACATTTTCCTTGGCATGCACGACTTACTTTCTGCAACTAGTAATTTAATTTTATTCTTTGCGAAGCAAATTACTCAAAAACATACCGAAATTTCTCATGGTTTCTATGTATCCAAAATGCAGAAATTTTATGTCTGCATGTGTTTTTATAGCTATCACATTTTTGCATTTTTCTGCATGCAGTTTTGATTTCCTATATTTTAATAGATATACGCTGATTTTACTCAAGCCCGGATCGAGTAAGATGAACAAACAGGTATGAAGGATATGATAAAAATTTGAAAGTGGGAAGATTAACTTATACAGATGAGATACGTACATGTGTACAAATCCCTTATCACATTATTAGTTTCTTTTACCCTCTTTATCCTACTACTAATTCAATACCAGGATTTCCCTTTTTTCTGTAATTATTTGCCAATAAAATTTCAAAGTGGATTGCACTGTTACTGTCATTATTCTTAAGATATATCCTTTGCCAGACCACTGGATGTCTTAAACAAGCTATTTTAGAAGCTAATTCATGGCTTAACTCTTTTTTTAGGGCCTAAGTCTTCAAGTGGGGCTCGGAACACAGATTTTTTGGCTTTCTAAAATCAGGTAAGACACTAGAATGCTAGCCAATGAGCACATGATATCTTCGTTTTAATGCAAACATACACTGAATGGAAGCTCTGTAAACCTTCTGAAAGAGAGCCCGAATCCACAGTTTCAAATATCTAGCTTCCACGTCTAAGCTAGTTTTTGGTCATCAGTTAGTAGTTCGTCCTTACTAGAAAGTTGTCATTTCGTGGCATGATAACCTCCGCAACTTTTACTGGCAATAATATACGTTATGGTTTATTTTAGCTTTGATATACTCCGTTGTATCGATTTAGAATGCATTGGGTATTAGCTATTTTCTGCAGATCTCGCATTACAGTCTATTTTCGAGCATCCAGAAATATTCGATTTCGCCTTTGCCCGACTCAGAAAAAAGCTGGCAATTTTGTGGAAATCGGAATGTAAAAGTAAATTACTTACTGATTTACAAATTGATAATCCTTTTCCAAGAATGGTTAAATAGAACATAAGCCTTTTAATTTCAATATTTTTTGCTAGAGGTTGAAATAGCTAATAGTGGTCCTTTTACTTAAACGGGAGACACTAAACTTCACAGGTATGACAGATGATATTGCATACCAGTTTATCGTGTTCTAAAGAGAAATCACAGTTGACTAACGACGAAGGTTCAGTAATAATAATTTACCTTAATCAGCAAATGCTGGTCGACAAACCTTCCGTCATTAAGTGTAATCTAATTACTTTTTGATCCTTACTGTTATTCATCCTGTCACCTCATCACTTTTTCCGAATTCTCGATCGTTTCACCTTTAGTAACATCATACTCCTTATCATCGCTAGCACATGCCCATCTTCGTTGCTACCAACACCCCCTCAGTTCCCGGATAGTGAAACAAACCTGGAATTGTCTCCTCTTGACACTTCCACTCGACAGCCATAAATTAATACACATACACAAACACACGTATATATATATATATATATATATATATATACGTATATACATATATATATACATTACATACATACATACATACATACGTACATACATACAAACATGTACACACGCACACATACATTTACACATACCGCACACTCATACACAGACACACATATGTTTCGATTATTAATTGATCTACTGATTGTAGGTTCATATTGGTGCCTGTGCAGCCGCCTCATCCTGATAACGTACCACCTCTTGCATACCATTTAACTTTTTTCCTAACCCAAGTTGCCTGTCACTATCGTGCACTGTATGGTTGTGTTTTTCCTGCTTCAGGCTTCTAGAAAAGTTAGTCTCAACTCTCTAATATTTAATTTTTGAATGGCGTTCGTAACAGTTGCACTTAGATTCTCGCTTTTTAAATTATTCCTTCTTCCGGTTTTCTAAATATTCTCGATCATAATTAATCAGCAGATTTCATCAGACTCACCAAAGATTACTCGGAAATTGCATATTGATTGACAGAGGCAATAGAAGTCTTCAAGATCCCACTAATAAGTATGTGTCATCCCTGATTACTATTATATTATTGCCTAGGTGTAGAATGCGAGAAATGCGGTACGATTAACTGCGTGTTTTGCATAATGTTGAAGGAAACATCCAAAGCTATCCGATTCTAAAGAAATGCAGTACTGTGTTCTATCAAAGGATCGATAGTAAGTTTAACTTGATGTTCAGTTTAAAGGTTAGTAATTCTTAAGCTGTGACGTTAAAGTTGAGAAAACAAATTATGATGCCATTTAGTTAGCTCATTTTCGTGCATTCCACTTCACTTATTGTTTCACTTGCTGATCCTTCATCTCTTCTCTTACTCTGCCTGTCTTCATTTGCATTTTCAGTAAAACCGATACTGCTGGATAAATGAACATTTGCGAAAGATACGTCATCATCCATGCCTTTGATGTGAACGCACGGTCACTGACAAATTATTGACAAAGGTCATCTATCCAATAATCTCTAATGAAACTTTTGCATCCATAGATTTATTATGGTCATGCATCAACACTTCTATGACAGTGCATTATACTAAACCACACCATTATAATGAATTTTGGAATTCTGGCTCGATTCCAAACGAGCAGTACATTTCCAATCTTAGGGCAAGGAAAGATTTTACATCTTTTATCTACAGCATTTAAATTTCTAATATGTTCGAAACCCACTGCATAAACTGAGTTAAAGTAATGAAAGGACCGTAAATTTCAGGATTTTGATAAAGGATTTTGGTAATTTTGATCTAACAACAGCTTATTAATTTATGCGAAAAAAATTTTCAGTGAGGAAAAATAAATGGATACGAAGTTCTGGATGGAAAGAGTGGTATACAAAATATGGATATCAATAAATCATTGAAATTGGGATGGAAAGCAGTAAATCTTCACTAAACTATTAACTAATCGAAGACTCTCTTTATTGGTATTTCAAGTTGAAAATAATGGAAACTGGAAATAATGCGGAAAAGAAAGGACAATGGTAGGATGAGCAGGAAGTAGAATGGAGGAGTTGATCGGATCCCAATAAATGCACAGCGGTGCTTGGAAATGATAGATTGACCTGACGTTGGGATTGCCACCACGGATGATGCATATGTTCCCCAATGGTCCATCAACAAAGAGCCTTAAGAAGCGCAAAATTTCCAGATTTTCCTCCTCTTTCTTCCCCTCCCTTCCTAGTTGCTTCCCCCACTCCTCTTTATCTCTTGTTTTACTTCTGGATAATTATTTCACATTCACTTCCCATCAATATATATATTTTCAACAATCCTCAATTTTGAAAATATATGAGTTCTCAGTGTTTTTTAATTTTTTTTCCATATTACGACAAAAAATATAGCTTGCACCGTACTTTGGACTGGAATTTTGAAACTCTCAGTTCACGACCCAGAAAACAGTGAGAAACGTAAAGGAAGAAACTAGTCAATGAGAGTGGGAAGTGAAAATGAAATGAAAACAAAGATACTCTTCCTTTCGAGCGACAAATGGATGAGAAAACTGACATCAGCAATGCGATGATTCTGAACCTGAGATAGTAATAGACTTGGGGATGATAAGACTGCGTGCCTCATTCGCCTTCCCATATCGCAGTTATTGCTACGATCATTCTTACTCTTATTTCTATTGGTATCTTCGTTTAAAAAAACATATGTAAATAAGTAAATAAGTGTATTCGTCTATTTACCAATCTATTCATGTATTTATTTCGTGTCTTGCAAGTGAAGACAGTCATCATGACAGAACTGCTCGCCTATTACTTAATTGTAGTTGTTTTGCAAAAAGATGTCATGCATTCAAAGTAACTCTCTGCGCCCACTTATGTATCCCTCCTTGTCCTTTATATTTCCGTGATAACTCATATATTTCCTTAGATTAATCTTTGTTAATCCAGTTACAGAATTCAACTTAAAATCTCTACCATCAATATTTACCGGCTACTGTAAAGATGACAAAGCTTACCACATTAAGCAACAACTTTCTAAATGCCTTTGCGAAAACATCCCAGCATGTTATGTAATTGCATATTTGATTAAAAAAAGGTACAATTGTTGAGAAGTTAAAGCGAATAGTTGAAACGGTTGTTTTCATGTTACCTATCTACTGTGGCCTTCTAGGAGCAGGAAGTATGTTTGTCATATAAGCGAGTTTGGCATTCTTTGGCTTCCAACGGCATCAACTCCACACCAACCAAACATGCTTCGATTTATGTCTTGTTATTCTTTACTTTTATCACTGATAATCGCGGACAAATACGCCGTTTATTTTTGAGATGTTTCACTGAACCAGTTTCATCCCGACTGCACAAAAATATATATATATATATAAAGTGTAAAGAGAAAGTAGCAGCAGTAGTAGTATATAAGTTTGAACTAAACGGAGCAAGATTAAGCGTTATTAAGTCCTCAAATACTACAATAAGTCATTAATTTAACAACGTTTGCAGTTTTTTCCAGTCACAAAATATCACTTTTGTCACAGCGACCACTGTAACAGGTCAGTGTCAGTAGCAGGGCAACTGTGAGAGTGGTAGTTATGCAGAAATCTGCAAAAATCTTGCCCTATTTTTACTCTTTATCATCAACATCAACTTCTCATTAGCTTATAACTCTCAAATTTTCAATTAGGTCGTGGTCCTCAACTTAATTGGTGAGTTGAGGAAAGAAAAATGAGACGGTGTCATTAAGAAAGGCGGCAGTAATGGTAACCAGCATAAGTGATTGTTTTTTGTGCTATCATACTTACATTTCGTATTTATATTTTCAACTTAATTCATACGAATGATGTTTCATCGAACTTTTCTACTCTCTCCGTTAACAACCATCATCTTAGGATATATTTCGTATATAATTCAGAATATCGTTTTGTTTTAATCCAACTTTCCTGACCATAAATGATTGTGAAATCAAATTACATATGTTTGGAATGTTTTGTTGGCATTCACACTATGACAATTGGAACTACCTCAAATTTTCTTTTGATTCCCCGGGTTAGTTTAATTTATGCAAGTTTCAGATTCGAACTTTTCTAAATAGAATTAGTCATATGCTACACTTATCGCAGCAATTCCAACACTTAAGACGGTCATCAACATATTCGTCAATTATAAATTCATCGTCGTCACATGTGATTTCCAAAATAATATCAATTCCATCCTCATTGTCATTAACACTGTTATCGCTACCGGAATCATCAATATCGTTGGCATTACCCCGAATAATGACTATTATTTGGATGGTCCGTACAACATTCCTTCTGCTTATTTCCTACTCTATTTTAATTACTCCTGGTCAAGCCGTGCTGTCATATGAGCCACAAATAAGTAAGTCTTCAGCACTGTATTTAATATTTATTATTAAGCACATTGAAGTTATTAGCGACTAATCCGAAAATAAACCGCTGTCCCATGATGTGTATAAAAATTCCTCGCAAGTTTTTCACGTTTAAGAGAAATTTTTGTTTTGTAGAAATTTCATGTAATTTGCTTATTTCAGGTTATTTCGACGGTGCAAGCTACTTGGATAACTGTAAGTCAAAATTGGAACGTCGTGTAACCGCTCTGTCCGGTTTATTGATATCACATCAATTATTCGGAAGCATTCCGTACAATGCGTCCAAGAATTGTTTTCTGCTAATAACAGCACCATCTGGTTATCGTATACGCTTACGTGTGCTTGATTTCAATGTACTCGGTGATGCTCACAACTGTGATAAGGATACGCTCCATGTTTTCGATGTTTGTTTTTTATGAGCTGCAATTTTGCCAGCTATAAAACCTTTCTTAATGCAAGTTTTGCATTCTATTTTTTAATGAATCTGAAATTTAGTATTTCATCCATTTAAACTTAAAATTATGGGATTAAAATTGCTTGTAATTAACCACCACTTCCTTTCTGTTTATTTCCTCACATTTTCAACCGTACAACAAATGGAAGTGGGTTTCATTAGTCGCCTTTTCTATATACAGCTGGATGAATCACTCTAACTAATTGAATTTAAACTAATTTTGGGAGTATTTTTTAGACATTAAGTCTCTTCATTCCAAAGTTTTATATACTTTGAAATCACTGACCAAATGAAAGATTTACATAATTTGCTTACAATTTTCAAGCATAAAAAAAACTCCAGCACGAAAAACCAATTGATCCGCAAACTTTACGAGATGCAACCCAAGAAGATACCTCGCCGGGACCAATACTTGGTCAGTTTTGCGGTACCATCCGAAATGCTAGTGAATTGGCCGTTTCAACCGAGAACGCGTTAACATTGTGGTGGCATACAGATGCCGAATTACCATTTCATCATAATGGTGAAGGATTTCGGTTACTTTGGTCCGCATTCCGAAAATCAAACATCGGCAAGTTCTTTTTTAAAGCCTTTTTTTTCCAAATTTGTGCAAATTTATAATATTTTATTTCTCCTGCTATTGCTTTAACTTCGTGCTTTCCTAATATAATAATGCTTGTTATGATGGGAGCTATTCCTTTGGATATTTATCTCTTAAAGGTTTGAAAAGGCACCTATTTTAATGTTATTTATTGCATTCTATCTTTGTCCTAATCAGAAGTTGTTTTTAATCAGGTGCTAAAAGGGTTGAAATGCAAGCATTATAGATCTCTTTCAGAGATAGATACTTGGCCGTATTCGAAAAAACGTGCTGCACTACTCTAAGATCAGTTTTGGTAATAATCATTTCAGCACCATGCAATGCCCAGCGGGAATTCACATGCAGGAATCAAGAGTGTATTGCTGCAGAACTTGCGTGCAATCGATATCCAGACTGCAAAGATGAATCCGATTTGATACGCGAATTGCAAATTGCTCACAAATGCGACTGTTTGTTTATCATTTTTATCTTTGAATTCTAATTAAATAGATGGTTTGATAAAAGAAAAGATGGTTGCAAAAATGGAAATTTTATACTGATTGTACTATGTTTCCAAAAGAGAGGTTTGAGAAGATTCAGAGAAACAAGTTTTATCTTAAGGGATGTCTTGCTTAAAAGTTTTATAAGAGCTAAAAAAATCTGTGGTAAAATTTTAAATCGTTTCAGTTTTGACTAATGACCCGTTGGGTTCATTAACCGGTTTGACGCTATTACTTATCAGTATGGCTGCTGTAAGTTCATCCGCATGTCTATGCATATGTGCATGCATCTGCTGTAAATGTATGAAAACTCCGGATAAGACTTGCACTACTACAACTACAGAATTACCTATTGAACGAACAGAACGCTGCACTGCAACAGATACCGCCGGACTGCAACAACCAACATCTCCTGGATTTTATCCACCATCTCCACCAGTTATGCCGTCTCTAGTGAGAAAAAAGTTCGACAAAAAGCTAGTACGAATGGGTACCTCAATTTTTTCCTCAAGAAGAATTTCAAAAACTGGAAATTATTTTATTTCAAAATTAAATGTCGACAATGGAAATATCTCTAAAAGACTGTACTTTACAAGCGACTCATAGATTCACGAAATCCTTTCCGTCATTCACTGCATTACATCTAATCGGGGTATACCAGCATCTCGGACGTGATCAAGTATCTTCTATAATCTAATCACTGGTTAAGCTAGTGGTAATTGCAAACTTCTAATTATTAGAATTGTTAAAACACGCGGTTATTCAGTGCAACATGTTTTCCAGTGAAGGTGGAACTGGACATCGGACACAACCATAGATCAAAGACATGAACCATTCAATATACTGGCAGGTCAGCTGTCGGGTGATCTGGATTGCAAACACCCGTTAGCAGTTTCTATAATTAAAAATTTGTGAGAGATCAGAAAAATATCCTGCCGGTCTTTAACATTTTACTATACTACTCAGTACTTCTATCATTTATATAGCACTGTTCAATGATTTTTTTATGAGAACATTCATAAAGAAAGTTAGAAATGCTGACTGAAGAAATTTTGTTGACCTAAATGTATTATGAAAAAGCTTAGATGTAATTTTTTCTTCCAAAAACTCCGAATTTTCATTAAATTTCAGTGTCTTTCCGAGACAAGACCTCATCAGTCAACTGCATCACCATAGCAGCTTCACAACTAAGCAAAGAGCACCATATTCACATTTACTTATTACTTCATCCAATGAATACGGTAATACGCCAATGCAGAAGAATAGCGATCGCACGTACATAAAGGATGACTCACGACACCTGCTCATATATTAATAATTTAAATGAGTACATTTGTGCATATGAGTTCAAGACTTCCTAAGATTTCGATGGCTGAAATATGATTCCAATTCTTTCTAATCCTATAATATCTTATTCTACATAATTTAATCTAACTTCGTCTTTGTCAAGAAATAGCTCAGTTTCTCTTCATCCGCCTGAATTTAAATCTTATTCTTTTGCACAGCATAACAGCTTTAAAAAAATAAAGAAAGATGTTTTCTTTATCCAATCTAGACTTCTCATCATATGTTACGCAATAGGCATAAGCCAAGAAAATGTGTTGGAAAACACCTCAGGTATGTTTTAACTAACTCGCCGTTATCCATAATATTGTTGTTTTTTGTTTGCAATTCATCGCATAAGTTTTGAACACTCAGATTTTCCCAGAAATTACTTTTTTTTGGCTGATTTGACATGCCTAATCGTTTAGAATGCAAAGTATCCGAAATACTGAATTCAAATCTTCTAATTTTCGGAAAATTTCGGAGTTAATTGTGTTTCAAATTTAAGCTTTAAATTTTAGTTTTTTAAAGTCTTAAATTTGTTTTAAATTTAAGCCTTGGGATTTTGAATTTAAGCTGCCATCGTTGCCTTAGTAGTAGGAAACTGCAGTGCTGTTAAACTGTAATCTTGTTTTTCCAAACCCTTGTCATTTTCGTTCTTTAATCATTGCTTCATCTCATTGTATATTTTGAAGTGCTGGAAAACTGAGAAAAAAACAATTTAAAAAATCTTTTCCATTCTGTTTTGAACACATTTGTTCTGAGTTTTATAATTCTAGTCCAATTTATCCATGGAAAAACAAGGAAATAGACGCCGGTTTTAACAAGATTGGTTACTGTTTTTTAACTTACGGGTGCAGCAATTTTTATCATTTAATTACCAGTTAACTAACCGATTCATCGTCCGTTTCTTTGCCGTCTTTTGCTGATGTTATTCATTCATTGTATCCGATATGTTGTAATCACACATCTTATGTTCGTCACCATCCAGAAGCTTCTGACATCACTTTACGAAAGTATGCGGCTGTGTTGCCATGCCTTAAAGGTGACCAGTTATCAGCAAATCCCTTTTTATATCTACTGTGCCACCATCATTACTTATTCTTTTCTAATAACTTATTTCTTTGGATCACGTTTTGGCCATCATAATTTTTACAAACACTTTTTGAAACAGTGACGTTTGATCATATGTTTATTCTTTGATTTTATTGTCATCGGGAATCTTATTTGTTCCGATTTTGTTGAATTGTTCCAAACAGGGTAATGGGGATAAATGTTTCATTTCAAAAAACTTTATACTGACGTATGTGATCATGTTACTGTACATTCGAGCGTTTCAAATTTCGGAGGGTTGTGTTTTGATTTTGCTTAAAACATGCCACTGTAGATCGCTTGCTGGGATTTGATTTTGATTTTCAACCTTATTAAAATCATTTTAACCTGGTCTTTGCAAAGCTAGAAATTAGAGCATCGGCTGCGCTATTATCTCACCAGGATATTCGGATCATTCGATAAAGTTTACCTCACATTGCTCCTAATCATCATCTTCCGAACAGGTAGAGAAAGGGATGTGGAAGACTGCTCTGTAAGCATCCATCACGATGACAGACAGATGGTTAGTTATACGAACCACTTTTTTGCTCGGTTTCTGGGGCAAGCCATAAAATAAAAAGTTCCCTTCTGGGGTAACTAAAGATAAAACAAGAAGTGCAGGCACACACTCAAATGAAAAAGGCGGCTTAGCTAGAATTAATCAAACTAATTTTTCAATCGTATGGAACTGAAAGCGATGATTCCAAAAGCAAGACACGGTCGATGACGAAAGTTATAACATAGAATGCAACGGGACCAAGTGTGCTCGACGTATGCTAATGTAATACGTTGAGCGTTGAAACTAGAGCTTTCTTGACAATGAGATCAAGTACATGTTGCACCATTAATGAAGAAAGTGAGATCTATTGGGCATTCCACTTTGTTTGCTTCACTAAGAACATATGGAAGCTCACGTATGCACGTGGATTACTGGAGAAAACGAAAATTACGTACGTGGCGAAGTTCACGAATTAAAATTAGTGACAAGTAATCTCGGACGGATTGGTCTAGTGTTTTAGATGTCCACAGTGCAATTGCTGATAAAACAGAATTTGTGTATATGCGGCAATATGCGCGTGTGTAAAGCAGACTACCAAAAGTCAAGTGTTTACTAGGAAGCCAAGTAAAACATGCTGAAGGAATAAATCCAAAAGTGGGGAACGGTCTTCATCAATTAATGATGTACGTGTGACATCTTCCCAACGAAAATAGTCATGACAAGAGGAAAAAGTTAAATACGATAGCCATCGATTAAGCAACTCAGTAGCGAACGTCAAATATGAATTAGAATATAAAATGATCACTAGGCAGTATTGTAGGAAACGTGGATTCTGACAATCCAAATAAAGCAAAAATTTTCATTGAGGAGACGAATATTGTTGGTGCGCTTATTCTAGCCCTGAAAAAGGAGAATAGATAATATGGGAAAGGAAACAAGGATAAGTAGGAGGTAATGACCAGCACAAAGTCCTTCACGGTCTAAGATCGGATCTGACAAGAGGTTTAGTTGCTATTGACGTTGCTGATATTGCATCAATTCCTTTTAATCAGCACGAATGGGAGGTCCTAGTATGCATAAATGCAAGCTAGATTCTATTCGACTAGTACATGAATGAATATGACAGAGGTTCCGGAGAACGGCATTCTGAAGCGATGCAGAAATAATGACTCGTTCTGCTATCGGCAAGAGATCAGGAGAAACTGCGTGAGCTTGAACTTACCATAATTTCTGGCTGCTTTAATTGTAATGATGTGTAGAAGAATGATGTTATTGCTTGAGAATTTTGTCTGCATCAGCTGGAAGAAGTTGGACTAGTCTAAGATCTATTGCATGTCAGTTTGTTTTGCGATTAGATGGGACAGAGCAATAACTGATCAAATCTCGAAGTACTGCACTATCCGCTGTTGAAGTGATAATTGAAGAGAGTAACAGGCAGCGCTGAAATCACTTTGTTTCAACACTGTAAACAAGAGTTTATGATCAGTGAGAAAATTCAGCCATCGATTAATTAATAGTGGACATTATAACAACGTCTTTTTTCATGGGCTCTTCTTTTTCATCGGAATGCATTTCTTCCCATATAAGGAGAGAATTCTGAATGCATGAGAAACTGCTGAGAAATGAGAAATTTGAGGAGAAGGAAAAACATGAGAAACTTGCTCATTGCCGTTGGGAAAGCAATGAGATATTTCTTATTCTGAGATGAGATATAGCAATGAAATATTTTTCTTTAGTAACATAATTAGAAGTATCTGTAGTTATGGTAAGCCGTTATCAAAAATCGGATTGGTGAATAGTTTTGAATTTGTTGAGAAACTTTTGGCATTGTGTGGACCAAACGAACTTGACATTTTGAGGAGAATATTATCGAAAGTAGTTAGTAAGCTTTTTGATTCAAAAGTTGTAGTAGTTAATTAGACCGAAAAAGGAGCGAAAGGTGAGAATTAATCAATAGACGCAGACACGTGGCGATAGTTTAACTCATGACAAGATCAGATTGTCATTTTACCGAACGATAAAGCGATGACGATAAAGATAAATAACGGTAACGATAACGATAACATATTTACATATAACAAATCGATTTTTGAAGCAAAGTGGATGAATCTTACACTTTAGAAAGAAAAGCTTCGAGGTTCTTCCAGAGTTTGCCTCGTTTTTGTCAACATTATCAGATTGGTAACGATGCCTGAGTAATCAGAAATCATGGAATCCATTAACATTTGGAAAATTGCGGATGCTAATTTTACTTCAAACAGTGGCGGTAAAGTCTTTGGTTAGTATTGATATCGAGAATTTTTTGAATCGTTTGAGAAGGTAAACGTTAGCGTTGAAAAGATCTCGTCTCCAAGTGAATAGAATTAGTGATGTATTTCGATAGAGAAATTTGAACAAATTTGAATAGTTCTGTGCAGTGACTGAAGCTGCTCGTGCCGAAACTGTGGAAATGATTCTTATGTTATCAAGTCCATCTAATTCAGCTTTTGTTAAAGACTTGGACTAGACCTTTCGGATGGAAAACAAGTTGAGCATTGATGCAAATAATAGGAAGGTTAACGCGAAGGAACTTCTCTTCCTTAGAAGCATTTAAGCTATGGGAAGATTTTCAAATTAAAGGTTTATCCCAGAGCCTATTGAATGATTGTTGGAGCAATTTGTTGTGCATTATAAGTTTATGATGACCTGAATTTCATGTTGCCAAATAAGAACATTGAATTGCGCTGACAATAAAAATTTCTGATATTGAAATAAGCTAAATACCATGAAAGATCGATCACAAGTAATAGATTTTGCTGCTGAATAATTATTTGAGCCATTGTCTTGCTTAAGAAAAATGACTAAAAAGAAAAAAAACGAAATATGATCAAAAACTGATAAAAAACCAAAAATGAAATTAAAACATTATCTTTCGCTAAAAATCGCCTAAGATGGAAAGGAATCAGAAATGTTATTGCAAGTTTACTGCTATTGTATTAAGAATGCACCTGATTTTATTTTGTTTTCGATATATACATATTGATTTTTCACGATCATACTCTTGATGTGTGAAATTAAAAACGATAGGAAAGTTCGTGACCTCATGTATCAAATCATTCGTACCGATTATGCAAAAAGTGCGTGATGAATTAAGGAATTCATTATAGATATGGATGTGTCAGTAACCTTCAGTTGATATTGATGTGTCAGCGAATACCTGCTGATGGGCAACATGTCGAATGGCATTACAATACAACATTGTTTTCTGTCCGGAAGAATAGTTCGTTTCATACGCATATGTTATTTATCCGGTTTCCTTTAATTATTTTGAAATTCAAGCATATTTCAAGAGATCTAGACTTCAATTCCAAAAAACTATCCACAATGCTGAAACAGGATTGCCAACATTGAACAGTTATTTTCTATTTTAGTACTGTAAATAGCAATCCCGAAATTCGGATATCTGTAGGAGCAATAAGGAACACACCTGAGTATTAATGTTATGCAATCGGCAAAAGCACTGTTGTTAGCAATACCTACACCACCACATGTCAGAGAAAAGCTTAGGAAAAAAATGAGCAAGAGGGAAAACACTCGGTTTAAAGCTGTCTCGAAAGACGCTCCATCGCAGACTAGCAGTTGGATAGCTTTGAGTGCAGTACAGACATGCAGATTTCTCAGTAATAGAAACTACAACAATCACAGAGCAGGAATCTGCTTTTTTGGAACATTTCAAGTTGGGACTGATGTCATTATCAATGAATTGATTTTTGACTCGAGACCACCTTTACATAAAGACATGGATTGCAAAAGTGTTGTCAGTAACACCTAAGCTGAATAAGTGCTGTCAAGCTAGTATTTTCCAACCCTCAAGAAATATGTGAATTTTTTTTTTCCAAATAATACTCTGTACCATTACAAATTGTAATTTAAGACGAAGCGGGTTAACCTCAGTTTTGTAGTTTCACAATTTCTAAGACAGTTTTTGGAAAAAAGACATCAAAGGCAATAAAAACAAATTCCTTTAGAGATTTATTGTCAAACCTGAAAATTTTGACAGCCGCTAAAACCTGTTATTTTTATAATTGTCGGATATGACGGAAAGCAAGTTTTTATTTTACGGAATTATTATCAGTGTTATTCTCAACAGAGCACCCAACTAAAATGATAAATTTATTCTGATATTTAAGGAAATAGTCATCTTTATGAACAAACCCATCGGGATGGACCTGGAAGAATATCTATGCTGATTTTTAAAAATTTTGTTACTACATCATAGAGCAAAAATACCAGGAAATTTCGACTTATCAGTAACGATCAAGTTCATATACTATGAGAAAACTATGAAATCAGAAATGACGCTGATTGATGTCCAAAAGTTTTTCAAATCATGTCTTTCATTATCAAATTCTTTGAAAATTCCGTATTTTCTTTATGCCTTGTCACCAGCGTATTCAAAATTCCATTATATATATATATATATATATA